CTTGTACGGTCTTTTTACGCATTGCGTATCTCGCTGCGTAAACATAAAACCATGTCTGCATTTGTGATCGGAGAAACGACAAACAACAAGTGCTACTCTACACTGCTCAAAACTCGCGTTTGAATCATCAGTGGCAAATTCTTTAAATATAAAAAAAAACGTACTTACAGGCTGTGAGTCAGAAGCGCCAGACTGTCCTTGCAAAGTTAGAACTGCCCCAGATGCTTTTCATCTCATTTTATTTGAGCTATAAATGCATTAAATTACTGCAGTGTAATGCATTTATAATAATTATAAATGCATTAAAATTAGGGATGGGTATCGAAAACCGGTTCCATTTTAGAACCGGTTCCAAATGTCCAAGAACCAGGTATTCGATAAGACAAATTCAAGCATTTTGATTCTGCTTAACGATTCCTGCATTCGCATTTTAATGTGATTAAAACGATTTAAGTGCAGGAACGGAAAGAACTTGCACCCTGTTTGCATGCAGCGCACACGAAGCACAAGAACAGAGAACAGAGGTCGCAGTACGGGTTCCCGGTTTGTGCCCGTTCTCGAACCGTTCCGTGCATTTCCACTGTAGAAAAGGTTGTTCCGGGCCGAAACTGACTTCTTTCATATTTGTCGACCAATATGCAGAAAACTACATCAGTATATCAACATAGACACAGCCGTATTTGTCTTACCTGAACGTAAACAGATGAGAAAGAAAACACACATGTACAGTGTTTTTAGATCCGCGTGCGTTCGGTGTTAAAAAGACAGCAGCCTAATAAACGCGCTGCCTGTCATTAATGTTAATCAAAGAACAAAAGAAAATCATTCACTGATCTTGATTGAATATATTTAATAACTTTAAATGATTAATCTATATTTTATTTATGAAAAGAAATCTATGCAGTGTTTTTAAATTACAGTTTCTGTACCTGAAATTTTGTTCAGTTGTATTTATTTATGATATTGTTAATTGATTGGTTTGTTCCTATCTTATTACTGATTGTTTACTTGTCTTTAACACTTTAATATTTGAAATTTATATTAATCTGGTTGTTTTTGCTGTGGTATTTTTTTTTAAAGCATAGGCAAAATTCCTCTTGCAGTGTTCTGTAGGCTGCTGATTTTTGCTCGTGTTATTCAGCTGCAACAGAATGCTTTGTAAAAAGA